AGGCCGGGTCCCGCCACCTGCCCCGAGCCGGCGCTCCTCCCCATCTCCTCCGCCGGGGAGGGGAGCTCGGGCTCCGGATCACAGGAGCAGCCAGAGCGCGGCCCGGGTCGGGGGAAGGGACGGGGCAGGAATGTCGGGCCGCAGGGTCGGGACACCTGCTCCGGAGACCAGAGGCGGCGCTTGCCCAGACCTGCCCTGGGGCCGCCGAGCACCTGGGGCGGGCAGCTTCCGCCGCCCTCTGTCCAGGTGACGGGGCGGCCCAGCTAGGGCCGGGGACAGCCGGAATAAGGCGCCCTTTTGAAGGCCGCCTCCCGCCCTTGAGCTGATGAGGGGCCTCCCTGAGGCCTGGGCAGGGCCGGCGTGCCCCACGCCTAGCAGAGCGTCGGGATTGTGCTGCTTCCCGCTCCGCTTCCTCTGTCCCCGCCGGGCCTCGTCCCGGACCCGGTGCGCAGGGAGCTGCTCCTGCGTGGCAGGCCCGCTGCTGAGGTCAGTCCCACATCGGAGGACACAGGCATGATTCCCCCGAAGGGCCTGGATGCCCTGTTAGATGGAAACCCGTCTGGCCTCTTCCAGTCCCCGACACCCCTCTCCTGCTCCTTCCCCAGCTTTCTTGCTGTTCCTCCTGCAGGGTCCCTGCCCTAGGATTTGCCCTTGACATTCCTTCTGCCTAGTGTACACATCCTCCCCCAACATTCGTGGAAAGTTGTTGCTTGCTGGTTTATGTCCATCTCCCTCCTAGAATGCAAGCTGCTCAAGGGACTGGCTCCTGTCTGTCTGCTCCTGCGCAGGGTCTACACATACCAAGTACTCAGTATGCGTGGAAAGGGGTGGGGATGAGAACAGGCCCTCCCTGGGCTTCACTGGCCTCCCCAAGACCTGCAAAGGGCTGGGGAGGTCCTTTAGCCCAGCACAAGGCTGCAAAGGCTGAGGCCGACCCCAGAGGCCTCCTCTCTGAGGCCAGGAAGCCTGTCCCTGGGGGGTGGGGTCACACTTTGGGCTTCTAGAGGCCAGGGGTAATGGTTGCTATGGAGACTGATGGTGAGTCCTTATACATCTGGGAATGGAGGGAAATTGCGGGGTGTGAGCCTGGAATTCCAGCTCTAGGACCCACATCTCTACCCTGTAGCGGGCCTGGGGGTGGAAGAGTCCTGCCCCCACGGCCAGAGGCCTTTTGTGAGGGAGCAGGCTGGGGGCACAGGCAGGGCCTGGCCCAAGAAGAGTCTTGCACACAAGAATGGGGGAGTTGCTGAGAGACAGTGGGTCTGCAGATCTCACCCGGGGTCAGGGGTAGGATCGAAGAAATAATAGGAGACCATTATAAGGAAAACCATATTTTTAAAATTGCACTTTGTTTGGAGTGGGGCAGTACTGGGGCTTAAACTTAGGCCCTTCTCACTGACCTGTAGCCCCAGGCCTTTTTAAAAATTGTTTTTAAAATTTTGAGACAGGGTCTCATTGTCCCTAAATTGCCCAGGCTAGGCTCAAACTGGAGATCCTCCTGCCTCAGCCTCCTATAGTGCTAGGATTACAGGCCTGCATGACCATATCTAGCTATAAACTGCTGTTGGTTTTTGTTTTTGAAGTTCAATTTGAGCATCCTGTAATCCCAGCACTACACTAATGTACCGAGCCCCAAAGCCTGTACTCTCTTCTGTCTGTGCATTTTATTCTGAGATAACTTTTTTTGTTGTTTTTTGTGGGGTTTTTTTGGTGTGGGGAATCAAACTCATGACCTCGAGCTTGCTGGGCAGGCACTGTGCCTCTCAACTATACCCCCGGCCCCACTTCTTTCATTCTGCCCAATAAACCCTCCTAATTCCTCTCGCGGACACATCCTAAAAATTCTGTGATGGGCATCAGGGTATCCACTGCCTACTCCGTGAGTGAGGTGAGTTAAGGTCCCCATCTCTTCTTTGGGGGACCTCCTGTCACAACCTTGGCACGCAGGGCAAAAGGAACGGCTTACAATCAAAAGATTCCAGAGCACTCCAAGGGGTGCTCTGGGCATACGCAGGGGGAGAGGGACACGAGCCTGGGCATACGAAAGGGCCCTGGTCCTCTGGGCCTGAGACCAGTTTGGCCCAGCCCTGCCTAGGACTTTGCTGTGTGACCTTGAAGCAGATGGGCCCCTCTCTGGGCCTCCACTGTCCTCATCTGTGCCTGCTGGACTGGTCTGTGATTTGGGGTGGTCTAAAAGGATGATGATCCAGCCCAGCCTGTCCAGCCAAGGCCAGGGTCCAGCACAGAGGGGCCACCCCGCCTTGTCTGCCCCTGGGCACTGCCTGCTGCTCTTTGTCTCTGGGGCCCGTTAGGTTCAAAATCTGGAGAGGAAATTCAGGCAGCCCTGCAGTTGCCAACCTGGCTGGCTCCATGCCTCGCTCCCCAGGGGGAAGGAGAAACAATGGGGCTGCACATTGTGTCCCTGGGCTGGGGTCTCTCCTGTGCCCCTCCCACTCAG